TTATTGAATAATCAAATTTTATGGAATAAAATTCCATAAAATAATTTTTCAATTTCTCAAAGTAAATGTATTTTAAAAACTTTAGTTTTGAGAAATGATTTTTTTAAAATGACAAATCAAATGCGATTTTAATAATCTTAAAATATATTTTCAAAATAAAAAATTGAAAATAAACTCAAAACTCAAAGCTGGGAACTGGAAACTCAAACACAAACACAAACCAAACCGGCCCTTACTTTCTTGTGTTTGGAACCTTTTGATGGGCCTTTTATGTCCATGCCATGGCTTCCGGCATAGTACAACTCAGCCAAACGAACAAAGCTATACACCTACGTAAACAACAAAAACATTCATTAGTCCACAACACACACACACTAAAGGTGATGAACGAATAACGATAGAATCTAATTGTTTAAAGAATGTACCTTGTCTCTGCATCTCCCACTTACTATAGCCGTTGGAAAATATCTAGCTAGTTTTCTTACTGTCGCTCTCATCTGTATACACAAATACGTACAATTAAATTCTGAAGCTGTTTAAAATTTTGGGTGTATTTTTTGAAGGAAACTAACCGCATCAGACATGAAGGCTCTATCAGGGTCGTCCACTATGGGGGATAGTGTCCCATCATAATCTAAAAACATGACGATTTGCTTTCCTTTTGATGCATTTGTTATTTCCTCAAACATGTCGAGAGCGGATGGATGGTGCACCTGTTTCAACACAAATTTCCCACGTGGTTACTACACTCTACTCACACGTGTACATACGATTTATGAAACAGTTTTATATTTACATAATATATAAACTTACAATCCAAGAGTTTAAATCTTCAGAATGAGCTGAGGACTTGATATGAGAGGGGGAAGATGCTCTCATTGAGTCAACCCAACCGTTGATTCTTGAACCGCCATTGTTATCAAGATTCTGAAGTGGCTTCTTCTTTGAAATGGTAATAACACTTCCCCGCAGCTTTTTGGCCGCCCTCGTGAAGAGGGAGGAGTTGGAAACTGCCACCTTTATGGCCACATTTTTTTGGTTTGTCATCTTCTTTTCTTGCTTACGGTATTATTGAAGAACCAGAGGTGAAAAACAGAGAGCTGTGCGGAAAATTATCAAGAATCGTACTCAATTGACAATCTTTTGGATGCAGAGAGAATGAAGAAGCTCGAATTTAGTTAATCACAAAAACAAAGATTTGAAGAGGAGATGAGAGAGAGAGAGAATTGTGTGTGAGAAAGATATGGAGCAATTTGATTGCTTTATAGTTGAGACCAGACTGACAGGCAGACACCAACGGACGAGACATACTTCCGCGGGTATTGTGGGCCTACCTTTTAATATCTTCGATTGGGTTCCACGCCCCCCGTGTTGGTCGTTTTTGTCCGCAGTCAACAGCCACAACCATGGTGCCATCTGGGTACCTCGCCACATGGGGACCAGTTAACCTCCAGTGGTGTGGGCTCATGCCGACATATCACGGAATAGGACAAGAGGGGTGGGTATAGAATTTGATTTCCAAAAACAGATTAAATTCACAAAGGAAACTCGCCTTTGAAAATGGCAAAATGAAAAGTCCCCTTGTATTGTACGGGTCAGCAGCATATGCAAACCCAGCTGCCCTTCTTCCACCACAAAGTATTTTAGGTTAAAATTGTCTAGTTTTATGTGGGGGCCATATTATTTGGTCCCAGTCTAATGCTTTTTGCTACTAATGAAAACATCAAATGAGAAGATGTTAATAACATGAATTTAGTAGGAATTTAATTTGGATAATTTTCTGGTACACGAACACGTTAAGTGCTCATTAAGAAGGATTGCAAAGTACTAAAAATTAAACAAAATTAAAATCTTATACTTCGTTATGTAACGAATGACAATACTAATTCAAGTTGTGTTATTGTCATTGACCTGCTATTCAAACCAAAATTAGTTTTTGGTCATATCAAGTACTATATGTTAAACGTACTCTTAAATGAGTGTCAACGTATATATGCATTCTATTAGGGGTTAACACAGTTCGAATTGAACGATATGTAATAAATTTTCAAATCAGGGGTTAACACAGTTCGAATTGAACGGTATGTAATAAATTTTCAAATCAAACCATTTAAAATGGTTTGAAAAAAAATTCAAACCAAATCAAACCACTTCAATTAATTAAACCAAACCAAACACTTTTTCAGTTTGTTTCGACTTAAAATCACGATTTCATAAATAAAAAAAAAATAACATATAACAAACAAGTTGAATCATAAATATTAGTTTAGATTTTCACATTAGAACATAAATATTATCATCATTACAAATATAATTCTACATTTCTAATCAATGCAATGCAACAACATGATAGAAATGGTTTAGTTTTAATCTCTTAGTCATACTAATTGGTACAATCATTTTTGCACTCAATGGACTCCAAAATAATTAAGAATTTGACCACTAGTGAGAAATGCAAACTCGGAAGTAATTGTAAATATTTGAATAGCTAACACATTTTTAACAATTTTGGAGATAATCTTGTACTTCTATTTAATTTCCATCAAAGTAATATTTAGAAAGACTCATTGATCAAATCTTCATAACGATCATTTAAGTAATCCACCAAATCATTATAACAATAAACAATAATATCTAGCAATTAACTTAAAATAATAATAATAAATTGAGTGACCTGATAAAAAAAAATTAAGAAGTAAATTAACAAAAATTAATGTTCAGCTAAAAATTAAGAAAATTCAACCGAAATCAAAACAAAAAGCACATTCTTAATAATTGTGATGAGTTATTGCCTAATTGAGATGGTATAATATTAATTTTTTTTTTTTAATTGGGATATGTTTAATTTTACTTATGTTGGATAACTTTTATATTAATTTATTTTCAATTTTTTTGTTGAACAGCATAGCGGTTTGAAACGGTTTACAAAAATTGAAACATAAATCAAACAATTTTGAAGCGATTTGATTCGGTTCAAAATCAAAACATTGACAGATTCACATGAACCTTATTAACCAATGATTTTTAAAAAGTTGTTTCGGTTCTATAAGTGGCTATTCCTTGTTTTGAAGGAATATATATAGAACTATCACTAAACAAAGGACTTAAAGATCAATATCCTGACTTAAGACTCTTTTGACATGATTTTTGTTTCCTATAGAAAAGTTTTTGGAGGAAATTATCAAAAATTTTGTTTGAAAACTAATTTTTAAGTATGCTTCCTATTTCAAAGGCAATTTTAAAGAAAATCGCATTGGATCAATTTCCTACAAAAACGCTTTTAACTATCAGAAACGCTTTCATAAAATTAATCAAACAGGTCCAAAGCAGCTTTTGAATCTCAAAAGCTACTTTTGATTCAAAAGCTATTCTAAACGGCCCTTTAATCATTTTGGCAATGCTCACTTCAATCAAGTCAATGTCTAACATCGTAAAAGGTCATTCAAACCTCGAGTAATAGTTGTACCTCAAGTAATGTGCACCGATGGTGATGCTTCTATCTCTATTGTTTTGTTCGGTTTTAATTTTTGCAACGATAAAAAATATGAAACAATATTCAATTTTCATATAACTTTTATAACATATAACATAAATCAATGTTGGAATTGTATTTCACGTTATTTTATATCTTCACTTTAGTCATTTAGTGCCCAATAAATTTGTTCACAGTTTGCTTCAAGTCATTATCACAGTTTGCTTCAAGTCATTATCAAGAATGTTTTATACACGAAGAATTACTAGAGACAATAGAAAACAAGTGAAGAATTTTATATAAACGTAACACAAATTTTGATATTATATATACGAAAACGATCTCTTAAGTACTGATACTTAGTTTATGCTAAGAATTGGGTGACACGGCACACTAACTACCAACAAATGTAATCAGTTTTGGAACTCCTATTATCTTCCGCCACATATTGTTGTGTGTCACGTCACCCGATGTTTAGGAGATCAATCATATATATATATATATATATACAGAAATGATCTAATGAGCACCGGTGCTCATCTTATCCTAAACACCGATGAGTTGGCACATTAATTCATTGGTGGATTGGAACTCACAAAATCTTTATCCACCAATGAATTAATGTGCCAACTCATCGGTGCTTAGGATAAGATGAGCACCGGTGCTCATTAGATCATTTCTGTAT